CCTTCCAGCTGCTGGAGGAGAACGACCAGCTGATCCGCGCCATCGTGGAGTACCAGAGCAAGGGGAGAGCCACCGAGTGCGTGCAGTGAGTCCTGGGGCGGGGCCAGGAGTCCGCGCACAGCGCCGCTGTCGGAGGCTTTTGGCCTAAAATAAACGAGCGAGGCTGTACTGACTGCGTTCAGGTTCCTTCTCCCGCTTTCCTTAAGGCTCGTGTTTGACCCCGTTTCTGGATAAATTCCTTGCGCCGCGGCGCTCGTGCTCGCTCACCACAGCAGACACGGCCTGGCTAAAAGTGATGTGCGAGGGGAGCTGCTTGCCCGCTCTCGGGGGAGGAGGAGAAAAAGGGATGCTTGTGCACACAAGTAAAGGCAGGCCAGGGTAGCACTTTGTCAGCGTGTAAATAGCTGCCAATGCCCTTTGCTTTCTTTCCCTAATAGCAAAGGTTCAGTAAAGTTGGGGAAATAAGAAATTCAGTCGAGTTGGAAAGCTAAGATAACACTTGTTAATGGAAGGCTACCAAGACTGACCCCATTCTCCTTATTGCAGGGAATATGGCTATTGCTTAGTTTTGCTCCAAATGAACTCTCTTTCCATCGTAGGTACCAGCACATCCTGCACAGGAACCTTATTTATCTAGCTACTATTGCCGATACAACTCCACCCAACGTACAGAGGACTGCAGACTGAGCATGCAGCTTTGGACACGTTGCAGATGCTTGTAAGAGATGTGGAAGTAGGATTGAGTTGCAGTGTAGTCAGGCCAAGAGGAACCTGCTGGAGGATCAGAAGGGCTCTTGTCCTCGTTAATAACTGGCTAACTTTGATTAGGATTCCAGGGGCACCTGGGGAAGGTCCTAGAAGAATTGGGCTCTCCACTTCATCAGGATTATGTTTAGCTTGCTTGAGGCTGGAAGTGGGAAAGCAAGTAAAAATAGCCTGTGTACCCCCCTTGCCCTGGCTTCTGTTAATAGTGTTCTTTTTGGAAAGTAACCCCATTTCCATGCAGCATCTTAAAAGTTGGGAATAATGACACTTGTTGTTAGAGGTGTGTCTTGAGTATTAAAAGCTGATGCAGCAACCATGAGAAAACAGAGATATGGGGAAGTAGTCAAAGATTTGCTACAGCTGGTCTTTAATCTTGCTGTACAAGTCTGCAAGTTGCTCATTCCCTCTTCCAGTAGCAGTTACCAAAATGTGAAGTAGGATTGATGCCCACCAGTCTCGTGAGTTGTGTAAATTCACCATGAGGGTTCCTTCGTTGCTCACAGCAGTTTTGAAAATCTCCAGAAAACAACAAGAGTTGCTCTGGCTACTAGATGTTGGAAAGTAATAGTTAGCTAAAAGTCTCCTACTGCCACAATCTATCCCACTTGTCACAGCACAAACACATAATCAGCTCTCTACAGAGAGTAACACACTATCAGTGGTCAAAGGCAGGAAAGTTTCAGCTTGCTATTGCTCTTCTCTTAACTAAGCTGCCTCTGCATCTCCTGGTGCAGGGGTGTCAAACTCATTAATGTTGCAGATCTAAATTGTGGGGCTTCTCACAGGCCAGGCAGCCCACCTCTGGCAGTAGCATTAACTCTTGCATGCTGACTGGCCTAACAGAGCAGCTCAGGTATTAAACCTTGCAGCTGCTTCAGCATTGATGTGGGGTTATCACTGCTGCAAGGCAGACAGCAGCAGCTTTAACTCCCAAGGTGCTGGCCCTGATAGACCCACCTTCAGATCTGGCCCACAGGGCCAGAAATTCTATCTGACTACAAGAAGCCCCCTAGGCTGGACATTTGAAAGCGCTCTCCTGTTGCGTTTGCAAGTGCAGGTCCTATAGTAAGATTGCTACTTTACTTATTTACCTGAAGGCAAAGGTGCAGAAATGTAACTGGAAGACAATTATGGAAGTTGTGAAATTTTCCTTTATCACCCTCCTATAAGCAGTTACATGCATTCCATCTTTATATTTCAGAGACTGCCTCCATTGCTCTGTTTTCGTGCAACAGGATTCAGACCTTGATAGGTAGTCATTCCACTTGCAAGGAATTGTTATTTATCGGTTCTGGTATAGAATAGGATAGGCACTCATTAAACTTAATGGAAATACTTGCATTTAAATTTGTTTCCTACCTTCCTAACAGCAAATTTAAGGCTAATGTGTACAGACACATTGTCTCGCACATTTACAGGAACGCAGTTAACGTACAGGATACATTGCAATATGACCCTGTTTTCCTGAATGAAAGTTCTTTCTAAAAAAAACAAGCATATTTAGGATTTGTATGATGCACTGTGTTCCTGCAGCTACAAAACAGCTACAAAAAACCTCCCTAGAGATAAACCTGATTAGGATTTCAAAGTATAGAACTGAAGAATTGCATTTCCCCTACCAAACATGAAAGCTTATAAAACATTTTGAATCTAGGGTTTTAATTTTTTAAGAAACAGATTGAAGTAATTTAACCTTTTCCAGAAATCATAGGTAGATATTGGGCATTGATAGAGAATTTTGTAAGTGATAACCTTGTCCATATATGTTTCTATAAGGGAATACTGTGGCAAACAAGTGGAGAGAAATCCAGTCTGCTTATGTGTTAATCTGTTCAAAATGCCATATATTGGATATTCTGTAAATAAACAAGTTCTGGTAACAAACCCCTTTGAATCCATTTTGTTATCAGATACAATCTCATCCAATTTTTATAACGTTTCTGTTTAGATGCGTTGGCAAGAGATGCACATACCTGAAACCTATGAAATACAGCTATTCAGTTTCTCAGTTGTATATTAAACACTTCCTATTTGTTAAACAAATAGCAAAACGTACATGCTGGCATGGGACTTAACTTTTGTTGGAAATCAAAGGTAACTTGCCATTTCTTATTCATGCGAGTTCTGCTTGCTGCTGAAGTACAAAATGCTACCCCATACAGTACAGCAGTGGTAACTTCCAAATTGGCTAATGAGTAATTATTAACCCTAGTGGCAAAGCAGCCCAAAATCAATTGTAGGGGAAGGTATCAGGTTCTTCAGTGTGTACTATTTAATTTACTGCCTATTTAATGCGTGTTATTACCTTCAATTAGTTAAATAATTCTGTATTAGTGAAGTAGTATCTTTGTTCACAAACTGAAGTTACATCTTAAGGTCCTGTTTATTTTCCATGGGGTGCAGGTTTTAAACAGGTCTGATCTATTAGTAAATATATCTTTTTAATAAAGCAAAGTTTTGTTTTGTTTTGGGTTTTTTTGTTTTGTTTTACTTACAGGAGCTTTAAAATACAAAATGTACAGTTCCAGTTCAGAAGCATTAGTTATTCACAAGAAGCTCTGCAATAAAGGTAAATTAACTAAGCACCAAACCCTTGCACTTGGCAGTGTAAATGATTTTTAAAAATGGCAAGACTTAAGCCAAGTGCAACAATTTTTAAAACTCCCAGTGTTAGGTACAATTGGAGGCAAAGGACATAGCACCTTTATGATCAAAATGTAGATAGGAAGGACTTAGTCTTTGTAATTCACTTGGATAAGTTCAGAAATTGCCAGTAAACTGCAAAAATTGCAGCAAGAGTTTTGGCACTTATATGGTTCAAAATTATAAATATTTCTATGACCTGGTCTATTGGTCTTGGTATGAATAACTGCAGGACATAAGTATGACCAAATTTAGGATCAAATATTAAGTGTCAAGTTTTAGGAAACTTAAAACCATTTGTCAAGCTGAGTAACTACTCATATTTTCAGCAGAGGGTTTTCAAAATTATAGTAGTACAGAACATTAACAAGTTACAGACAAAAGCCACACCGATTGTGCAAAGCACGGTACTGTAAAAAGTCTTACGTACAGCAAACAGTTCTGTAAACATGGTAAGTATGAATTTTCAGAAAACATGGTGACAATATATCAAATACAGGCAACATTGGCATCCCCAAACAGCACAAAAGGTAACATTCTGGGCATATAAATGCAGCCCATCACCATACAAACAAGAAAGGTGGTTGGGTTTTAAACACCCAAATGTTTAATATTTTTAGTGTTGTGTATATATATAGAGAGAGAGAGAGAGTGTAATTGGTTTTTTGGTATCTTTAGATATAGAATATTTAGTTTGCAAACAAAAAGTGGGAACATAAATGTGCTTTTATCTTCATTGGGGGGGGAAAAAAAAAAAAAAAAACTTATGTAGTTAGAAATAACAGCCCACTTTACTAGTAGTTAACGTATTAGAATGATATAATGACTTAAGAAAAATACAAAAATAAGAATACTGTCAAAACTTTTATACCAGAAAATATTGTGGTTTTTAGACTCTTTCAAAGATGACATATGAAAATTTTTAAATAAGCTTTAACTATATAAAGAATCTTCTCTAACTTCAATTAATATACAATGGGATAACTGTACACATATTTACCATTGTTTTTCAATTTAAGCACCAGTCACTCCTCTAGATCCCACTTTGGTTGGAAGATTATTCCTAATTCCACAGGTTCACTTAATGGCACATTGACCAGAAATAATTACTTTATTCTCTAAAAAAAAAAAAATGTTCTTTTCACGAACTACTACCCACATTTTAGTTCTAGTTTCTTCTGAGCCAGCTCACAATTTTCACTCTAACCATAGCATTGAAATAAGACTTTAAATATATGCAAGTAGTCTTTTAAGCTGTACTTCTGCACATTTAAGGAGCACTGTGTGGATAATGCCTT